TCTGCAACCAGGCCTGCATATCTCAGTCACAGGCCTTTCTGCAAGACCTATGCAGCCAAGGACTGAGCTATAGATTGAATCCATTGCTCGGTACTTGGCTGCAGAGGCATCCTGGAAAGGCCTGACTGCAAAATGCAGGCCAGAATGCAGTCACAGAATGAAACTGCTCCTTCGGCCCCAGAAGAAGTGGACCGGCTGGGTGGGGCTGTCGGTGTCAGAGGTGAGTAAGACATCCCCCAAAAATAAGACCTGATGCCTCTTTTGGAGGCAAAAAAAAAAAAAAAAGACCCGGTCTTATTTTCGGGGAAACACGATATTCTACAGCAGGAAGCTATCTTGGTATTAAATATTAAATTGTTCAATTAATCTGTTGAAGAGCGACTTTAAAAATATGTTGATATACATGTAGTCCTCACAAATGCCTCGTTCAGCAACTATTGAGAGTTACAACAGTGATGTTCCTCAATCATGTGACCACCATTACTGTTAGTACATATTTTATTTATTTATTGAATTTATATACCGCCCTATCTCCCTTACGGGACTCAGGGCGGTGAACAGGCGATAATAAAAACCACAATAAATATACACAAATTTCTGTCTAAAATCAAATTAAATAACAGGCCTGCTCTAAAAATATCCCATACAAAACCCCCACTAAAACATAATCAAACTACGCCAGGTCGGCCGCACGGAATAGATGGGCCTTCAGGGCTCGACGAAAAAGGCGCAGGTCCGCAACTGTACGTAGGTCGGGGGGTAGGTCATTCCAGAGGGCAGGAGCTGCCACAGAGAAGGCTCTCCCCCTGGGGATCGCCAGCCGGCATTGTTTGGCCGACGGCACCCTAAGGAGGCCCTCTCTGTGGGAGCGGACTGGTCGAAGGGAGGTGTTCTGTGTCTGACCTGATGATTTTCTTTTTTTTCTCCTTTGCAAAGCAGAGAGATTGGAGAGGAAGGCATTACAAAACAGTAAGCAGGCACACAATGGGAAATACAGAGAGCAATATGCTTGTGCCATCAGCTGCAACTGTGCTAAGCAAACATCTTGGTGTATTTATTCCCCCTTGTATGCTTGTTTATTCTCTTGTAATACCTTTGCTCCAATCTCTCCACTCTATGAGAAGGTGTGGAGAAAACGTCAAGCGATTTTTCTAGGCAATCTCTCCTGTATCTGACTCATTCTGCCTCTCCGCAGATTGTTCCATCAAGTCAGAATATGACCATGATCAAGGGGTATTAGTGTGTTATGGGCTCTGGAAAAGCTATACAAAAATAAGGCTTGTTCAGTGAAGTTTTATAGTATGGGTATATAGTTTAAGTTATCCATAAAGCTTTTTAAAAAAAACTGAAAAAGAAATAGTAGTACATGTATTTAGTGAATATCAGTGCAATCAGTCATCATAGACACTCATACAAAAAACTAATAGTTTTTCCTAATAAGATAGCAAGCCTTATCCAGTGGAACTGAAGTTGGAGAGGTTGGTTTGCTATGGGTAAGTGTGCTGGTTTGGAAAAAAAAGGAATAGAAAGAATAGCTGGTACTGTTTATCTAGAAATAACTAGTTGGGCCCCTTGTTCTGCTCTATACACATTGCCCTTGAAAAAGAGCGTGCACATCCATACTAGCCAGTGTTCAAACCCAGATCTGCTAAGAGACAGAAAGAATGCTTTAACATATTATTACAGATACCTGTTTCAGTTGGAATTTATTCTGAAAGGGTTAAATTGATTTGCTGTTGATTAGAAAGATACTTGAATGAGGATACAGAGGTCTAAGAAAAGAAGGGGAAATTTTTATGAACAAAGGAAAACTATGTCTTTCAGAAAGCAAAATGTGCAAGACAGTATAATTTGTTCCATTTTTGTGGGCTGTCACTTTTATTTAGCACTACATATGATTCACTAAACCATTTTATTCTCCACGTGAGTTTTCCTCATTCCTACTAATTGCTGTGTACGTTTCGCCACAAGCTTTTGTAAACAATGCATTAGGAACTCTAGCTGACCAGATTATATGGGCTGAAGAAAAACATCCTGATTCACTCCTCATTGTGCTAGGTGATTTCAACAATGCTAACTTAAGCCAAGAGCTACCAAAATATTTTCAGCATGTCAACTGTCTCACTAGAGGAAAGAATACATTAGACCACTGCTACACAACACTAAAAGATGCTTATCGGTCTTTACCACGAGCAGCTGTGGGACACTCTGATCATTGTATGATTCACCTTGTATCTGTTTATAGACAAGGGCTGAAAACTACAAAACCAACAACTAAATCAGTGAAGTCTTGGATTGAGGAGGCAAAGCTAAAACTACAGGCTTGCTTTGACTGCACTGATTGGAAAGTTTTCAAAGATACCTCTGCAGACTTGGATGAACTCACAGATACTGTAGCATCATACTTTAGCTTTTGTGAAGACCTATGTGTACCAACCAGTAACTTGCGAATATACAGTAACAATAAGCCTTGGTTCACAGCTAAACTCAAGCAACTACATCATACCGAAGAGGAAGCCTACAGGAAAAAAGATAGAATGCTGTACAATCAGGCCAGAAATATATTAACAAGGGAGATCACAGCAGAAAAAAGAAACTACTCTGAAAAACTAAGGGATCAGTTCTCAGCAAATGATCCAGCAAATATGTGGAAAACTCTTAAAAATATCACCGGCTACAACAAACCTTCTCTCCATGCTGAAGGAAATTGACAACTGGCAGATGACCTGAATGTGTTTTACTATAGATTTGAGAGGAAAGTACTGTCACCTATCTGCACCATCCCCATCTCAGATACACCAAGAACAGCTATACCTCCTACAACTGACCCCATCCCCTTGGGTCCCCCACCTCTGGTGATCATAGAAAATGATGTGCAAGGTCTATTTCACAAACAAAAGCCTGGAAAAGCACCAGGCCCAGACAAGATAACCCCTTCTTGCTTGAAAACTTGTGCTGATCAATTGGCCCCATCTTCACCCAAATCTTTAATAAATCACTAGAGATGTGCTATATTCCTTCTTGCTTCAAATGCTCTACTATCATCCCAGTGCCAAAGAAATCCTCCATCAAAGAACCAAATGACTACAGACCGGTTGCTCTGACATCCGTAGTTATGAAAACCTTTGAAAGGTTAGTGCTAGCCCACCTGAAAATCATCACAGATCCCTTGCAATTTGCCTACTGAGCAAATAGATCAGCAGATGATGCTGTTAATATGGCTCTGCACTATATTCTACAACATCTTGAATCTCCAAAGACCTATGCAAGGGTCCTTTTTGTAGATTTCAGTTCGGCATTCAATCCTATCATTCCAGATATTCTTCTCACTAAACTAAATCAGCTAGCCGTGCCTGACCACACCTGTAAGTGGATCATAAGCTTTCTATCAGGCAGGAAGCAGCAAGTGAAGCTAGGCAAAATCACATCAGATACCTATACAATTAGCACAGGGCCCCACCAGGGCTGTGTGCTCTTTCCACTTCTCTCTACATACCAATGACTGCATCTCAAAAGATCCCCCTGTTAAAGTACTGAAGTTTGCAGATGATACAACAATGATTGGCCTCATTCGAGACAACAACAAATCGGCATACAGATGGGAGGTTGAACAACTAGCCTTGTGGTGTGTCCGGAACAATCTTGAACACATTCAAAACTGTAGAAATGACACTAGACTTTAGGAGAAACCCTACTATTCTACAACCTCTTACAATACTAGACAATATAGTATCAACAGTAGAGACCTTCAAGTTTCTGGGTTCTATAATATCTCAAGATTTAAAATGGATACCTAACATAAAAAATGTAATAAAAAAGCACAACAAAGAATGTTCTTTCTGCGCCAACTCAGAAAGCTCAGGCTGCCTAAGGAGCTGCTGATATAGTTCTACAAAGGAATTAATGAGTCTGTCATTTGCACCTCTATAACTGTCTGGTTTAGAACTGCAACCAAACAAGACAGACACAGACCTCAATGAATAGTTAGAACTGCAGAAAAAACAATTACTACCAGCCTGCCTTTCATTGAAGACCTGTATACTGCACGAGCAAGAAAGAGCTGTGAAAATATCCACAGACCCCTCACATCCTGTACATAAACTATTTCAATTTCTTCCGTCAAGACAATGCTACAGGGCATTGCACACCAGAATGACTAGACATAAGGACAGTTTTTTTCTTCATGCCATCACTCTGCTTAACAACTAATTCCTACAACAATGTCAAAATACTAGTAAAGCTGTATTACTATGATACTCCTTATCTTTCCTATTACCTATCCTTATCTTCTTATGACTAAAACTTGCTGCTTGTATCTTACAATTTTCTTTTTTTTTTGTAGCCTAGTATGATTTATGTTGTTTGCTTAGCTAGTACTCTATGACTATCACTAAGTGTTACATTTTATGATTTATGATGAAGTGCTGTATTTCACGATTTATGATGAATGTATTTTCAGGTTGTATATGATCATGATTACCACTATTACTTGTATGTACACTGAGAGCTTATGCACCAGAAACAAATTCCTTGTGTGTCCAACCACACTTGGCCAATAAAGAATTCTATTTTAAAGAATTCTATTATCAGAGAGTTATAATTTCTTGTATCAGTTTGTACATTGGATATTTTGCATTTGAAAGTACTTTTGTACTTCATACATTTTATAGCTGCCTGAAAGTCCACAGTTTTACTGTTGCTCTATTAGACAATCATGAAGAAATAGGGGCAGTGATACTAAGATACATAACTTGCAATAGTTCATGGGATTAGTGACCTTATGTATATGAAATGCTTCGAATGGTCCAAGGTACTTAATAAATTAGAAGTAATAGGAAGGTAAATACATGTTAAATAGTATAAAATATATTTTCCAACTATAAAAATTACTCGCTATTTTTCTTGTTGCTTTGCTAGTTTAGATTGGTTAATTATGCTGTTTTTGTTAACATACAAAAGTATAAAGTGCTATGACAAATGTTTTCTGCATTTTCAAACAGCTGCCACCAACTCTGCATTGCAATTTGAAAAGAAGAATTGTCGAGAGATTCAAGAAATCTTTATTCAGTCAGCAGAGTAATCCATGTAATTTGAAATCTGAGATTAAAAAGGTATAGTATTCAAAAGGACACTTCCACAATTATGGATTTTTTTTCATTATTTGAAATATGGGCCTTATATTCAGAGGAATTGAAGCATTTTCAAAGTTTAAGATGTTCAGCATTTAAAACTCTTCATGTTTTATTCAGAATAAGTGGGGACTCAAATTATTATTTAAAGAATGTCTGAACTTTAATTTATATGTAGTTATAACAAACATTTAGTATGATGCTTAAACAGGACTTAATTACTGTTTTATGAGATAAGCCATTTTAAAGTTTGGAGTCTGTTTCTAAATCCTTATCTCTCCATATTATTCAGCAAAAAAATTGTTTTACAGAAAAAAATCTGCCTGTATCTTTATAAAGTGGAAAGAGATAGGGAAACTTCTCCTGGACTCAAGAGTGTTTGCCTTTCTGTGGCTAGACCTTGTAACACTACTGATATCAGAAGAAAATACATTTTTAAATATAAATTGATGCTAAAAAGCTAATAGAGAGTTTAAAACAAAATGGAATAAAGAATCTCTCTATGTAAAATAGGCATTATTTTATATTTACCATTTTGCTCATTAAACATTTGAACTCAGTCCTGAACCCCATTCTCTGGCAATCTATTCTAAGGCAGGTGTGAATTCCAGAATCTTTGGATTCTGCTTTATTAGAAAAGCTGTTGCTTTTCAGTGATAGGATACCATGCTTGTTCAAGGATCTGTGCAAAGGAGAATTTACAGTTTTATTAAATGAGCAGGATATTTGTGGCCCTTGTTAAAACCTCATAAAGGTCACTCTTCCTAAATCAGATGGAAGAACAACCATTCCACTAATCTAGCATGAAGCTTATGTTGTGGGTCATTCAGCAGAATTGTCTTAGGCTTGGAGTTAAACCATATCATGTCTATTATGTGTGTTCAACTTGATTTCCATTTTAGAACAGATCTCCAGTGCTAATTATTTCCTGGTAAAACATTTATGAAATGAAGAAAATAGAGTTTTCATTCGCATTTGATCTTTTTTTTAGATACTTCAAGGTTCCCCAGAGTTGATTGAGCCTAATTTTTTGACGTCAGATTGTCATTTGTTGCTTCACTCTTCAAGTGGCAGTACTTTAGTCCTAGATGACAGACCTGGTAAGTCTAGCAAAAACCACATTGCTTTGTAGTTATTTATGTTGATAATATCCAGCAAACATGAATAATTATTAATAAAAGCTCATTTAGACCAACAGGGGTTCAAGTCTCTTCTGTGGACCAAATCAGTATTTTTTTCTATCCTTTATATAGCAACTGCAGTGTACTTGGTTGATCATAATCATCAAAGATCTGGTAGTAATATCCCATTTTGAATAATCTAATTTGAAAATAAAGCACATTAACTATGTGCGTTCACCATGTATATTGACAGCTATCTTCTAGTTACACATGATGGTTCTATTCCACTGAATTTATGAACTTCCCTAAGAAAGTCCTATTCATTAATATCCTCTTCAGCCTCCTCTAGCAAACTCCTCTTTCAAATCTATTAATCATGAATTCCAATCCATCTAGTTCAGACATGTCAAACACAAGGCCCGGGGGCCAGATGCAGCCCGCGAAGTGGTTTCATGTGGCCTGCGAAGCCATCCTGGAAACAGTGAGGGAACGGCTCCGCTGCCTTGGTCCTGGCCCAGGCCAGCCGGGAGTCAATGTACAATTTTGTGGTGGCCATCTATGCTGAAACACATTCAGTCTTAGCTCCACAAGGCCGTCTGGAAACAGTAAGGAACCAGCCCCTGCTGCATCGGCCCAGCTCCCTAGGTGCATGCTGGGGAGGTGTCACCCTTTGTGAGGAATGAAGAAATGCACTATCACCTGGAAGTTGCCAGCAAATGGCCTTTGCCTACTTCACATATCCGGCTTGATGGGCTCCGGGAGAGGGGTTTCGGCAGGCAGCGGGGCGCTCTCCTCACAGTGCTGAGAGGCTGAGCCGGGTGGTGCGAATCTGATGAGAAGTGCAATGCTACCTAGCCCCCAGCCCGCCCAGTTTCAGCAGGCAGCAAGGTGCAAAGCTGGCGAGCTTTGCACCGCCTGGCTCAACCTTTCGGTGCTATGAGGAGAGCGCCCTGCTGCCTGCCAAGACCAGGCAGGCTGGGTGGTATTGCACAGGTAACGTTGACTCTCACGTTGCTCATGGCATCCCCTCCCCCAGAGCCCACCAAGCCAGATATGTGAAGTAGGTGAGGGCCATTTGCTGGCAACTTCCAGGCGATGGTGCATTTCTTCATTCCTCATGAAGGGTAACACCTCACCAGCTGTGTTTCTTGCCTGTTTTTCTCTCTCCATCATCTCAAATATTTTCCTACCACTCTGTACTTAGGAAGGAAAGAAGGAAAGAAGGATAGGGAGGGTCTGAGGGAAGTCCTGCCTTAGTCCTGCCCTGCTGCCCTTTCACCATCCCCTTGCCCCCTCCTCCTGGCCTATCCTGGGGGTCTCCCATCCTATTGCTAAGGAAGCTTTGGATACAAAGCCGGGTCTTTTCCCATGGAGAGAGAATGGGCCTCCCTCTGACTTTGCCTCGTACCCATCATGAGCAACCTGGCTAAGGAGAGCAAGCATAGCAGCAGCAGTCTTGAGGAAGAGGTAAGTGCAGCTGAGCACTCCCTTAGGGAAGGAGCTGGGCTTGGTGCTGCAGATGCTCGAGGGCCAGGCTGGGTGTTTGACCTCTGCTGCCCAGGGCTCCGGGCAGCCCGCACCACCATCAGCCCCCCCACATGGCCTGAGAGGAACAGTGAGGCTCCTCCAGTGTACTATGCCTTGGCATTTGCCCTGGTCCCACGCCCTTCTGCCAGAGACCCTTAGATCTGTCCCATTCCTGCCCAGGCCCCCACAGGCACCCTTGACGCGAATAATCTAGAGCTGGCCATGCCCACCCAGTAGGCCACACCTACTCCATTCACGCCCACCCAGTAGGGCGCACCCACCCTGGCCACACTCACCCGCCCCCCCCCAAGGGCAACCACAATGCTGATGCGGCCCTCAATGTAATTGAGTTTGACATCCTTGATCTAGTTGCATGGCTGATTTAACTACGGTTGTTTGTATCTAGATGTTTTCTTTAGGATGATTTGGAATTGTGATAAATTCGCAAACCTTTTATCTAATTTTTCATTTAAAACTTGTAAGTTGGCAAACATCTTTTTTTCAAAAATTTCCAAGAAGAAATTTCCAAGAAAAAATGTTAAATTCATCTGAGTCCCATCTCTCTTTTATATCTCCTTTTGGGGGCATTGTAGAACATATAACAGAATAACAGAGTTGGAAGGTACCTTGGAGGTCTTCTAGTCCAACCCCCTGCTCAGGCAGGAAACTCTGTACCATTTCAGACAAATGGTTGTCCAACCTCTTCTTAAAAACTTCCAGTGTTGGAGCATTCACAACTTCTGGAGGCAAGTCATTACACTGATTAATTATTCTGTCAGGAAATTTCTGCTTAGTTCTAGGTTGCTTCTCTCCTTGATTAATGTATAAAGTATATAATATTCAAAGTCCTTAATTTATTCTTGCTTTGGGCTTAATATAATTTGAATGCCTCTTATAACCAAGCATTCACAACAGAATGTAAACAATTCTTTTTTAAGGACAAAAAGGGTAGAAGTTCCATTACAAATTAACAGAAGAAGCTAAGACAAAGATTTTTACAGCAGAGAGTAAAAAAAGAGGGGGAATTCCCATCCCCCTTTAAAATAAAAAGATAATATATACAAAAATAAAATGAAGCAATGAATTCTTTTAGAAAAATGAGTAAAATACAAAATCTCTAGAGTAAAAAATCTGGTATAAATCAGATCAAATAACTTTCACTGCAAAAAGAAAGCAAAACAAGAAAACAAAACCCCCTCATGCTGTCGATTTCCTTGTGGCAAAAGGGAAAGTACTTGAAAGCTCTGAAATAAGATGATGAAAGTTTACATTTGTAATAAAGCAAAAGGGATAAGCAAATAAACATTCAGCCACGCTATTAACAATTAAGCTTCAAAAGGTGATATTAAAAAAAGAGATTGCCTAACAGTATAAACAGCTGCAAGATAAGATGCACACTCAACCCTCTGGCTGCACTTACCGAGAGTTGAAATCATCTAGATTTCTCTTTTCAGGCAAGTACCTGGGAGTTATCATGGTCATTCTTAGTTACTCCTATTCAAATCTACGGAGCTGGCTTTGGCAGCAGGGTCAGATGTGACTAGAATAGAACAGAATAGAAAAACAGAGTTGGAAGGGACCTTGGAGGTCTTCTAGTCCAACCCCCTGCTCAGGCAGGAAACCCTATACCATTTCAGACAAATCGCTGTCCAGTCTCTTCTTAAAAATGTCTGGTGCTGGAGCATTCACAACTTCTGAAGGAAGATTGTTCCACTGATTAATTGTTCTAACTGTCAGGAAATTTCTCCTTAGTTCTAGGTTGCTTCTCTCTTTGGTCAGTTTCCACCCGTTGCTTCTTGTCCTGCCTTCAGGCGCCTTGGAAAATAGCTTGACTCCCTCTTCTTTGTGGCAGCCCCTGAGATATTGGAACACTGCTATCATGTCCCCCCTCGTCCTTCTCTTCATTAAACTAGACATACCCAATTCCAGCAATCGTTCCTTATATGTTTTAGCCTCCAGTCCCCTAATCATCTTTGTTGCTGTTTACTGTACTCTTTCTAGAGTCTCAACATCTTTGTGGCAACCCCTGAGATATTGGAACACTACTATCATGTCACCCCTAGTCCTTCTTTTCATTACCCAATTCCAGCAACTGTTCTTTATATGTTTTAGCCTCCAGTCCCGATCTTTTTGTTGCTCTTCTCTGCATTCTTTCTAGAATCTTAACATCTTTTTTACATCATGGTGACCAAAACTGGATATAGTATTCCAAGTGTGACTTTGTTTTGTTGGCATGGAGGAAAAAAACACCTCACTGTTCAGTGTGACATTTTCTGGGGTTGCCTCAGCAGCAACTCCATCTCTGAATACAGTGTGGTATGGTGCTAGGATTAACCTTTACTGTATGTATTCATTTAAGAAGTCCGAGAAGGTTTTTGCTCATATTTCATATTGCGTTTGATTAAACATTTTATTGCTTTATTTTATACATAATGTATTTCCTCTTATATATATCATAGTGGGAATTATATTATAGGGCATCATACATGTGTTGCCAGTAAATCACCAATAATAACAATACAAACATAAACATCATAAAATTCTATTTTTATACACTAGAGATCAACAGTCACTTTTATACATAGAGAAAAACAGTCATTTTTTGCACAATTCCTTCTCAAAGCATCCCAGCTTGTATTTCTTTTAATTGCTTTGAACTATAGCTACGGAGTTAGAGCTTTGGATCAGGACTCAGTTTCAAATTCCCACTCATCTGTGAAATCCTATATCTATAGACTAGAGAACAATATCACTCATACATAGAACAGTCACAATATCACTCATGCATAGAACAGACACAATATCACTCATACGTAGAACAGTCACAGTACAGTTGCTTTCCAAATCATCCCACTTATATTTCTCTTCATTGTTTTGAACTATAGGTATGGAGAAAGAGTCTTGGATCAGGACCCAATTTCAAAGGGCCGCTCATTTGTAAAAGGCTCAAGCTAATCACTATCTCTATCTTAAGTAGTTTGAAAAAAGAGGGAAGCATGTAACTTATCTTAAACTTTAAAAAATGTAGGAGCTATATTGCAACAAATCAAGCCACCTTTTCAAATTATATCCTTATTGGCAACATACTTCCAGCTTTCAGACATGATTTGTTTTAATCTTCCCCCAGAATATCAAATATTAAATAAGAAATATTATTGGAAAAACATGGAATTTACCCAAGGTAAATACATGCTTATATGTAATTAAGCTATGTAATTTGTTCAGGAAACAAATATAATAAAAATACATAGCAAGTAGACTATCTTTTTATTCTCAATAAGCCATATGTCAAGAGGAAAGCAGTTATTTGATTTCTTGATGCAGTGGATCCGTTCCCCCCCCCCCAAGAGGACAAAATAAAATTTCTCATGTTGTAATATGTTTGAGAGCTTAGTATTAGGCTAATTTTCCAAGAAGTGAGATAATAAAAGCCCAGTCTAGCACAATACCAACAAACAAGAAAAATAACAGCTCTCAAAAGAAACCAGCATGGCTGCATAAAGAACTCTCTGATAAATTGAAAGACAAAAAGGACAAGTATAAAAAGTGGAAAGAGGGGCACATAACTAAGGCAGAATATCAGCAAATAGCCCGAGCCTGCAAAGATGAAGTGAGGAAAGCTAAGGCTCAAAAAGCTAAGGCTTGCGACCAAAGTCAAAAATAACAAAAAAAAAAATCTTCTTTCAACATGTAAAAAACAAGAAAAAAGTTAAGGAAATGATAGGTCCATTAGTGGGGGAAAGAAGGTGACAAGCAACAGGGAGAAAGCAGAACTATTTAACTCGTTTTTTGAATCTGTCTTTACACAAAGAGAAAAAACAGTCCAACCTATCAAAAACACCCCAAGATTCTCAAGAAACTGGCAGATGTGATCTCAGAACCACTGAAGTATATTTTTCAAAGATCCTGGAGCACTGGGGAACTACCAGAGGACTGGAAAAGAGCTGATGTAGTTCCCATCTTCAAAAAAGGGAAAAAAATAGATCTAGGAAACTACAGACCTATCAGTCTGACCTCAATACCTAGGAAGATTTTGGAAAAGATAATCAAACAACGAATCAGCGAACACCTAGAGGCAAACAAAGTCATTATGAAAAGCCAACATGGGTTTGTTAAAAACAGATCATGCCAGACAAATCTTATTGCATTCTTTGACCAAGTGACAAAATTAGTGGATCAGAGGAATGCTGTGGATATAATTTACTTGGGCTTCAGTAAGGCATTTGATAAAGTAGATCACAACCTACTACTTGAGAAGATAGAAAAATGTGGGTTACACAGCATCACCATCAGATGCATCCGTAGCTGGCTGACCGGCTGTACTCAGCGTGTGGTCCTCAATGGAACCGCATCTACATGGAGGGAAGTGTGTAGTGGGGTGTCCCAGGGCTCTGTTCTAGGCCCAGTGCTCTTCAACATCTTCATCAAGATTTGGATGAGGGGATAGATGGGGAACTCATCAAATTTGCAGATGACACCAAGCTGGCAGGAATAACCAACACTCCAGAAGATAGGCTTAAGATACAAAAGGATCTGGATAGACTTGAGCATTGGGCGCTATCTAACAAAATGAAATTCAATGGTGAAAAAGTAAGGTTCTACATTTAAGCAAGAAAAACCAAATGTACAGGTATAATATAGGTGGTACCTTGCTCAATAGTAGTAAATGTGAGAGGAATCTCGGAGTCCTAGTGGACAATCACTTAAATATGAGCCAGCAGTGTGCTGCAGCTGCCAAAAAAGCCAACACAGTGCTAGACTGCATTAACAGAGGGATAGAATCAAGATTACATGAAGTATTAATATCACTTTACAATGCCTTTGTAAGGCCACTCTTGGAATACTGCATCCATTTTTGGTCACCACGATGTAAAAAAGGTGTTGAGACTCTAGAAAGAGTACAGAGAAGATCAACAAAGATGATTAGGGGACTAGAGGCTAAAACATATAAGGAAAGGTTGCTAGAATTGGGTATGCCTAGTTTAATGAAGAGAAGGATGAGGGGTGACATGATAGCAGTGTTCCAATATCTCAGGGGCTGCCACAAAGAAGAGGGAGTAAGCTATTCTCCAAAGCGCCTAAAGGCAGGACAAGAAGCAACGGATGAAAACTAATCAAGGAGAGAAGCAACCTAGAACTAAGGAGAAACTCCCTGACAGTTAGAACAATTAACCAGTAGAACAACCTGCCTCCAGAAGCGGTGAATGCTCCAACACTGGAAGTTTTTAAGAAGAGATTGGACAGCCATTTGTCCAAAATAGTATAGGGTTTCCTGCCTGGGCAGGGGGTTGGACTAGATGACCTTCAAGATCCCTTCCAACATTATTATTATTATTATTGTTGTTGTTGTTATTATTGTTATTACTACTATTGTTTCTAATAATAATAATAATAATCAAAGTGATATAAACATGAAAATAACAGTAATATAATCAGATAGGATGTTAAGAAGCTTAAATAAATGTTGGGATGGAGCAAGAGAAGTTTAATATGAACAAAAATGTTGGACAAGCAGAGCAAAAATTGCAACAGAAAAAATTGAAAAGCAATTTCTGCAGTGTTCAACCTGGAGCATTTATGGAAAAATACAGAATGAGTAGGTAAAAGTATAGAACTTAGCAACAAGAATAACAATTAAATGCATAATGTTATGAGGAACACTTTCAAACATCAAGAACAGAGAAGGATCATAGTTGGAAAGATCAGAAAACAAACACTATTATGAATCTGTTAAAGTTAGTTAACATAATTTTTATTTATTTAATTTTTATGCTGCCCATCTCATTGACACTGCAGCAAGTCTGGATAGTTTACAATTTTGAAAGGTTCTATGCATTTTGCTTTTGTATTAAAGATTTTCATAGCCCTATATATAATTAAATGTGCTGAAAGAATTTAAAGACAGAGCATTTTATTCCACTTGTGGGAGATAACAAAAATAGCAGAAAGGCCTGTCTTATTTATAGTTCTTTTCTGTGGTCAAGTATCATGTTGACTTTTGTTTGCAAGAGTCCTGAACAGTGACATTCTAAGGGACTTTTAGAATGATGAGCCTTGAAAGAGCAAAGAGTTTTCTCCTGCATTGTTTTCTTGTGAGATGCTCTCATTTCAAAACAGTATGATTGACTCCCCATTCTCTTACCTTTTAGAGCAGTGTTAAAATGCACCTTTTAAACCTGGTTTTTAGGATGCTTTAAGGACATGAAGTTCTAGTACCCCTTTACAACGCCTTAGTAAGACCTCTCTTGGAATACTGTATCCAGTTCTGTTTACCACAATATCAAAAGATGTTGAGATTCTAGAAAGATTGCAGAGAAGAGCAATAAGAATGATTACAGGGCTGGAGGCTAAAACATTCAAAGAATAGTTACAGTCTTGTTGAAAGAAAAATGACTTCATCAGGGTCCAGTCCAAGCTGGGAATAATCAAAATGGAAACTGCTTTAGAAAGAAGGTTGTAGTTTATTGAAGAGGAGAGCCAGACAGAAAGATGCTCTGGGAAAGCTGACCACATATTGTAGGGAGTGGTGGGTTTTTATACCTTCTTGAGCTTTTGTTTGGAGTTGTTCCTGTGGCATGAACTTTGACCTGAGTCTGAGTGTGCCTTCTGGTATTCTGATGGTGGTGGGTTAATCCTATTATGTCCCAAAGGTCATATCCTGCTTCCCTGTGGCTGTGGCTGATGACTATTGGATTTTTGGTGTGAGGGATTGTTGATTCTAGGGATCTTTGTCTTTCTAATCCTAGCTTCCTGGCTCTAATCTTTCTGACAAGATTATCACATCTGCATTTCTGCAGACCTGGTTTCTGTTTGGGGCAGAGTGACTTGTGGGGAGGTGGTTGGTTTCTGCCTTTAAGATCCTTTGGGGAAATATATTCTGCCTTTTTAATATTTCCCAAAATATTTCTTTCTCTGGATTCTTCCCACAGTCTAATGCAAAGAAGGACTAGGGGAGACATGATAGCAAGGTTCCAATATTTGAGAGGCTCCTACAAAGACATGAGGGTCAAACTAAAAAACAATGGATGGAAACTAACCAATGAGAGAAACAACCTAGAATTAAGGAGAAATTTCCTAATGGAGAGAGCAGTCAACCAATGGAATAGCTTGCATTCAGAAATTGTGAGTGTTCCATCACTGGAGGCTTTCAAAAAGAAAATGGACAACATCTATCTTAAATGGTATAGGATCTCCTACTCGAGCAATATCTTTGTGGCTTTTGGTTTGAGTAAGATGCTACTCCCTCATCTTCCAGGCTCTAAACCTACAAGAGACTGCTGCCTTGCATTCTCTTTAAAGGAGCAACTACCGGGAAAACTTGTGGATGGCCTACTTGCCATCTCTTTGTTCTTTGCTATGCTTGTCATCTCTGCTCTTTGCAGAGCTATCTTTAATCTACTATTCTTCCAACAGGCTGTTTTCTGATGTAGCTATCTTTACTCCATCATACCTCCTCAAGCTAGTGAATATAAGGATTAAACTAATATTTTTATTTTTAACACTTTTGTCACTACAAAAAGATCAAACAACCACCTTGGGAGAAGACATACAACTGTTCTAATAACAAGAATGGCAATTAATTAAAACGAAAGAAAGAATTCAAAACTTCTAAATTAGTACTTTTGAAATAAACATACATTTGGATCTCTTAATCACAGAGAAGATCTATATCTAAAAATAGCTCAGTTTGTAACACCCAATATTTTATTATTATTTCTACATTATTCCATAATGTTCTATTTTAAACAAGCTTTTTTGTTGAAAAAATGTTCTTTTTATATAAATTTATATAATTATCTGTTAAATTATCCAACTTTACCTCATTTAATTACTTATAGGTCTTCTGGGAACTTTTGAGGATGAAGGAATGACATATGAACAAATGCAGGTTAGACTTTATTTTTGGAATTGTGAACAATTTTTAGGTCTTTTGAAAACTTATAATAAAACTTAGTATACTTCATTTTTTAGACTGTAATTGAAGAGGTTCTGGAGGAATGTGGATATTACAATTTTACCTCAAGCAGGTGAGTTTCATTTCAAAAGGAAATGTTAAAGTTAGTTGAAGTTATTGAATATAAGCATTAATTCTTTTTCTAATGACGTCATATTAAGCTTAACAAGGTAAAGATTTTCCTATCAGTCATGTCCAACTCTAGGGCACAGTGCTTGGCTCCCTTTCTTGGCTAAGGGAGCCAGCATTGTCTGAAAATAATTTCCGTGGTCATATGGTCCACACAACTATATGCTATAAAGCACATGGATCACTGTTACCTTCCCATCAAAGTGGTACCTATTAATCTACTTTGCATTTACATGCTTTTAAACTATTAGGTGGGCAGGAGCTGGGGAAAGCAACAGGAGCTCACTCCTGTTGTGCAGAACTTGCGTGTCGAACTTGAGCTATCAGCTCTCCAGCTAACAAGCTCAGCATCTTTAACCACTGAGCCATTGCACCCCCTTATTAAGCTTAATAGAATGCATCATTTAATTGAATGTAGGTAAGTGATAGGTACAACTAATATGTAAGATTTGGATTATATTTCCACAGGAAAATAGCCCAATACTTCACTGTAATTTCCTCTCATTTCTTCTCTCCCCATAAAGGAAATTTTTGGATTTTTAAAAATAAAATCAGTAAAAGGATTTTTTTCAGTAAAAAGTCTTTTTAAACAAAAACAAAACTTTCTGATAAGAATATACACTAACCTAGTTAGCACATTTGAAAGCGTTTGCACAAATAAAACCAGCATAAGAAAGCAAAAGGATATAAAACAAAACTATTTGGAAAAATCTGTCATGAATCTGTTATTCTGATTTCAGCAAGTGCTACTCTTCTCCACCCATCCCTGATAACTACTGCAACTTCTGACTTCCCATTAGGATTGGAGTACACTAGAAGTTAATCAGAGAATCTTATTAATCAACCATATTAAAATGAGTCTCAGTGAATGATCAAAACTCTAGATACAGAATCAAGACCACTGATCCAGTTAACCTGAAATTGTGAATTATTCTTGGCAGAATCTCTCAAAGATCAGAATCTTAACTTTTTAACTGAAGGGGCTACGCATGAGATAATCTGCTTGGAATTGATATACTAGAATTAGCTCCCCAATCAATGAAACTAAAATATAAAGAACAGAATGTTTAATAATCAAATTGTCATTTTACATAATAAAGCTGAATATGTGCTCACACTTCTGGGGTAGAAAAAGCATCCTTGGATGTCTAATTCTTAAGATTTTGTTTAGAAAAAGTTGTTGCATATTGAACACTCTAACCAAAATAAATTGTTGAATGCCTTGCAAAATCACTTTGTCTATGCTTTCTACTAATTCTATACTTTCTACTAATTTTCAGCAAGCTAGACAGTGCTATATCTCAGATGAGAAGATCATAACCTACCCATCCATGTTGATTCATCTTTTGTATATTCCAGTTTGGTAGCACGAGATTTAATCTGACTCAAAATAAAAATGCTATTAATTTTGTTTTATTCCATTAAACAAATAATTACAGCTCTTAAATCTTTTTAGGTATCAATACTATCCATGGGGAGCAAGAAATCATCCAGCCAGAAGATGAGCACCTAGAATTCTGATTACATTGGCAGATTTTGTAATAAGGTCTAAATGTCTTGACTTTAGCTGTTATTTTCTGACTGCTAAAGGAAAACACTGCATAAAACACGACAAAAAGAAACACACAGGAAAGAGAAATCATTCAAATCTTCTGCATAGCTTACAGAGAATCAACCAAGTAGAAGAACTGTAGTACATATCTCTGGCAGTAGGTATAAGCAATATAGTTTTGGTGTCAAGATATGATTTGTACAAAATGTAAACATTCTTCCAAGTACTTCCATTAAGGTGACAATGCACTGCTCTTTAGCCCGTTCTTGATTTTTGGAATGGCTTCTTGAATACTCAGGTTTATTAGAAATCTTAGTTTTTACAGATTTCCTAATATTAGAGAGTCAGGTTTATTAGAAACCTTAGTTTTTACAGATTTCCTAATATTAGAGACTCTATTTTTTTATAATAGAATATATTTTGGGCATACAGCAATTCAGAATGTGTAAGCAAAGAGGACAAAGTATAGCTAAGAATAAAAAATAGGTTGGGAATCAGAAAAGAGCATTCAAAATATTGCTTTAATTACTTGAGTTAGTTGGGATTTATGCTGTGAATATGATATATTAGACAGTATTTACAATTTTCACAACGTCTAACATTTGTTAAATCCAAAGATTAGAGCATGGAACATGCTTAGGTTCTATAAATAGGTAAATATCAATGTCATCTAGATATAGATGTAAAGCTACACAAAAACATGTACAGATATATTTATATTAAATAAATAATCTAATTAATTGTTATTGCTAATTAGATATGTAGTAGACATTGCACTTTTGAAAAATTGAAAGTCTTTCTGAAAAATGCTTGTAATACATCATTGTTATCTGGACATTTCTTTTCTTTTAGCATTTTTTCAGTTTTACTAAATCTTTTCAGTTTAGTAAATATTGAGTAAACATATGGTTATCTACAGTGATGATGTAAATTTTATAGATTGGATGTAATATTTCAAAATTCCATTGACTTTTTAAAGTGACAGCATGTTTTAATATAGGCTTCAATCTTTGGCCATGTAAGGTGAAGGGCAACATCGAATATTGTGTTAGGGGATTGAGAGAGAAAAGGAAATCCATTCTATTAACTGTATCTGTTGGTAGTCACACTGTTGATTTACATATAATATAATGTATATGTATGTTAACAATATTTTCAAAGTTACACACTTACAGTAATTTAAATTACTAGGAGGCATATTACTTAATGTAGCATACCATATTTAGTTGAGGGAGACATGGAGGGAGATCTAGGAAAAAAGTATGTTCAGATTTGCCTATCTAACATATTTAGTCTGCTACAAATGATATCATGGATTTGAGATAAACCAAAAAGAACATTTGAAATCAAAATAAGAAAACTGAAACAAAATGCCACATAGCAAAAATATTATCTAGCATTGCCATTTGTCACTTTCAGAAGTCAGTAAAATTTCAGCAGTGTTTTCTGCATTTAGGTGATAAAGTTGGTGAGGAAGACACATATACTGAAATTTTAGTAGGACTGCATGACTCAGAGATTGGCCAGGTTCCTAAATGTATGTACAGTGTGTTTTAGGAGCTATGGACCTCCTCTGCATTTTGCTTGTTCACCACAATAAAATCAATAGAACCAAGCAGCTGCATGGTTCATGGTGGCAAATAATTTACACAACAATTTTGTTCAAGAAATTTCATGTGGAAACTGTATTACTTCTGATGGATATCGATAGACAACAAAATTTCATAGAAATAATAGTAACTAGTACAGTTGGACTAAACTAAACCCTCAGCAAATGAAATGGAGCATTTCTATCCTTTGCATATTGTTTTGCTACTCTTGGATTCTTTCTTTTTATTGTATTGTTCTGCTATTGGTTTTTTTAATTGTTTGATTTACCTCCCCCCTTTTATAATTTATCAGCCTTCTCAAATGCTGCTTTTGCAATAGTGAGACAACTCTGTCAATAAATAAATCCAGTGATGTTTGAAAGAATAGTCTAGTCTGGAGCCTTTGGCAGAACATCCATCTCTACAACTGATCCCAGCAGTCAGAAGAGGACTCTACATAACACATATGCAGATGTTGCTTTCAAAAAGTATGATTCCCATACTTCTTGTCTTCCCTCACAATTCAACTCTTCTTATTTTATTAAAACTTCATCCTACTTGCATTACCAGCAGTCTGGCTACAAAAAGACTTGTCATTGCTAAACAGGATATTTAGCTCTTCCAAACAAGAGAGAGTCTGGAGACAGAAGCCCACATCATGCAAGTGTGGGTAAATATGGCCACAACTTTGGTTCATGATGGTTTTATAAGAATAGTTCCATTATTTATTATTTACTCCTCCTTCTCCAGTCCATCCCAATCTTTATCCCTAAAAATCATTCAGTATTCTTAAATTTTTTAAGAACAGGATGTGGTCCATCTAAACAATTGATGCCAAATACAGATAATCTCTATAAGTTAATATTGAAGTTGAAAAAACAAACTGAATAGGATATATGGGCAAGCATGCATACTATACAAGGCTACTCATCTAGCAGAAGATTTTGAAATATGGCTTACAATTACTGGCAGTCTATAATTCTGCTTTATTGGGGTTCCTACTTATAGTGTACTACAAAAGATCAGAATTATGCGAGCCATGATATTCTCTGTAACACTCTATAGAAATAAATGATGGATTTTGAAGAAGCAAGATAGGAAGAATATTGACACTTTAAATGTTGGTGTTGAAGAGGATTCTTGAGAATATCATGGACAACCAAAAAAACCAAAAAACCCCACAATAAATGGATCATCAAACAAATCATCCCAGAGTTCTTACTCAAGGCACAAATGGCCAGTTCAAATTATCCTACTTTGGACAGATTATGTGAAGACTTTGCTCTTTGGAGAAGGCTCTAATATTGTGAAAGATGGGAGGAAAAATACATTTAGTTTCAGTGCTGATGAAGGCATTATTGAAAGAATTTAAGATCAGATTAAGGCTCGATCATCATGGAGAAGATCTATGGGGTTGTGAAAAATTAACAACAACTTGATGGCACATAATCAGTTATGGATCTTCAACTTCTATTCACACACAGGTGGCAAGTATATTGATAGCTATGTCCATTACTTTAATACATCTCATATGAGAGAAAGTGATCACAAGTCCACTGTATAACTGAATGCTAGATTTTGGAAACAAAAGCATGTATATGAAAATTCCAGAAGCTTTTACTTGGTCAATATTAAAATAAAGAGGCTAGACCTGGAAATCAATAACTTAGCAAAAGCTACACTGAATGTTCTAGAAGAATATAGCAAATGTAAATGGCAAGCCATTACTATTGAAGATTTACAGATCTTAGACTATATATCTTTACTAGGAAGTCCGATGAGTGTCCAGGGATGCTAGGAGTTTACATGAGGCTTTTAAATAAAATAGTGCATTGGGCAGGAGCTCCATCAGATATAATGCTTTTATCCAATTGAAATCTTATAGTGTGAGAATTCTAAAAAGACTTTTGGTTTTCTCACACAGAAGTACTTGAAACATGCTTCTGTATAATCCATGATTCAATTCTGTGTTGCTAAACACAATTAGTATTTGAACAATGATTCAGTTTTGACTAATAAATATGATTACATGTGGAAGTTTGTTAATTAAGTGGTCCTTCACTTTGTTTAATTTTATTTTGTAAAAGTGAGGTTCCAATAAAGAATAAAGTCTTATAATGAACTCTTATTCCAATAGAGTTTTATGACATTGTTTAGGAATTAGTAAATAAACCAAGAGAGAGCTGTTTGGTGTAATGATAAGGATTAGATTAGAAACCAAAAGATGATGAGTTCTAATTCTGCCTTGATATGAAGACAGCTGAATGGTCTTAGGCCAGTCATTCTCTTAGCAAGGAGGCAATGGCTAACCAGTTCTTCAGTCGTGCCAAGAACACCGCAGAGACTTGTCTAGACAGTCACTAGGAGTCAGTTCTAATTCAAAGGCACCCACAAAAAAGACAATCTGAGATTGGGCTATAACCTGTTTAGGAAGAGATCAAAGATCAAATCATCAGCTTAGAAGTGATTATAGACCTCAGACAGCTCCTGTAAGTTTAGACCTTTGCTCTGACAAGGGGCAGCTTTTGCCCAGCTTCAACTGAATGTCTCCTGCACTCTTTCAAAAGTGATTCATGCTTTAATCAATTATGTTTAGATTTATCTAATGCACATTAATAGACTACTTACTATTGGGTGTTTTTCACTCTATTACTCTGTTCTCAGTTGCCCTAGTCTTTTGCCAACTATTTCAAATCATAACTTAATATACCTTCTGTGATGACCCTAATATTTTCTATAGCATCTTACTGCTCTTTCATGCATCTTTGCAAGCAACCAAACATAACAATTGATATTTACGTGCTTTGATCATAAGTTGAGTGTAGAATTTAGTTTAGATTCTCAAATGAAAGTTCTCATAAGATAAGGAACATCTGCAAGTAGATATCAGCCACAGATCCTAGCTGACATTAAAGGTAGTCTTAAATTCAAGTAAATAGGACTCAGGGAAGAAGATGAAAGCTGGAAATGGAAGTGACACTGCCAGTATACACTGTGGCAAACAAGTAGCAAAACCCAGTAGGGACTAATAAAACCAAATAGAATTACTGCATGATCAAGATTTTGGGGAGACTGTCAAAAATGGCACTTCATGAAGAATTCTGCTGAGGAGAAAGCAGTGCCAGGAAACCTTTCCACTCACTGTAGAAAACTTGATGATGCTAAAGATGACAGAAGATAAGAAAATCAAAAAAGGGGGAGGGATGGACAAATGGCTGCAAGTCTGAATGGTGGACAATTTGGAAACGTTTTTGTGATTAAAAAAGAATGTATTACTGAGAATGATGTTTTATTTGAAACAACACCTGTTTTGACTAATGGCATGCCTTTTAAGTAATAGCAAAAAGATATAGCTTGATTCATAGGGCAGAAGAAGAAATCAAGTTTAAATATGAAATTAGTTAAGGCACAAAGGAAAAAAAGATTGGAATTTCCTGATTTTAAATTGTATTTTGTTGCCCGTAATTTGGATTGGAGGAAAGAGTAGGTGCTGTTGACAAAAAAGAGAATGTTAGAATTAGAAGAACATGACCTGAGGTTTGGCTGGCATTTTTTTAGCGGGGTGAAAATGCCCATGTGCCATCCATTCCACTGTTTACCATCCATATATTAGCATAGGCTTTCCCTGTCCACTAGCGAACCCACTAATGATATTATAGAAGAAACAACATTTCAAAAGACTGCCATATAAGCCTTTTAGTCTACAGTGATTTATAGGCTGAAACTGACAAAGCATGCCTTCCCTCAAAGAAATCAATAAATATAATTAAGTTACTATTAAGATACTGATGCAAATCCCCTCAAGGTATGAATATCTGATAGACATACAATGCAGCTTCCCCCCTTAATACCAAACCCCTCACTGAACAACTAGACAATTATCATACCCCAGAGGGGGGGGGACATTTTCTCCTTGCAAGACTTCACACATTCCCTCAAAATATTCCAGTCAACATGTTTGCACACCTCAACTTCACATATCTACACATCTCAACCTTATTATAAATATTACTGTCCCTAATCTTTTCACTAATGGCTATCTTCGAGAGTTAACTTGCATATTATGCTGTCAAATAAACCGTACTTCTCTTCAAGCAATTATCCCATGTTCATTCATGACTTGGCTAGGATTCAAACTCAGAATTTCCCTCTGACAGTATGTTAAAATTAATGTAGATTTCAAAAATTATTGTTAGATGTGCCATAATATGGAATAAATATAAAGCCAGTCTGGTTCAGACTATTTAAAAGACTGCTCTTCCCGCATCAATATAGATAGATAGAAACACAGGAGCACAATTTTCTTTGTAGTGGCACCTCAATTGTGAAACTGTCTACCCGGTATTTTTCCTTCTATGTTTAATTTTAGATGACTTGTTGAAACAGTTTTATTCAGTTTACATATCCAGAATGAACCTTCACCTCATGTTCAAAATACAAATTTATTAGGTCTGGTCTGTGTTTTTAAGATCTTTTTAATGCCTTATTTTCTCAAAAATTGCTCAACAGTTTTAAAGTTTAAAATTATAAACATGGAGTAGATGTCTTGGTCTTGACTTTAAATCAGGTGTTTAGAAATACATGAGGGTTTTTTTTCAGATTTTTTTCTATGGATGAGTCTTCTGCATTAGAAACTATTTTGCATCTGGCTATAGAGATAAAGTTGTGGAAGATCTTCGACAGAGTGAGCAGTAACAGCAGCAGCAGCAGCGAAGAGGAAATCCCGTAGACATTTCAGCTGGACTTTAGACTTTGCTCTCAATCTGCTCACTCTGTTGAAGATCTTCAACAACTTATGGACTGTTTTAGCAAGGCCTACCAAGACTTTAGTCTAACAATCAGCCTGAAAAAAACACAACTCATGGGTCAGGACGTGGATTCATCTCCCTGTATTACAATCTCTGCACAAGAACTGGAGGTTATCCATGACTTTGTGTACCTCGGCTCAACTATCTCCAACACTCTCTCTTTAGATACTGAGCTGAATAGACATATTGGTAAAGCGGCCAGCACATTTTCCAGACTTAAAGAGAGTATGGCTTAATAAGAAGTTGACAGAACATACAAAGATCCAGGTCTATAGAGCCTGCGTCTTGAGCACACTCTTGTATTGCAGTGAGTCTTGGACCCTTTATGTATGGCAGGAGAGAAAGCTGAACACCTTTCATATGCGCTGTCTCCGACATATTCTCAGCATCACCTGGCATGACAAAGTCCCAAATAGCGCAGTCCTGGAATTTCTAGCATGTATACATTATTGAAACAGCAACGTCTACGCTGGCTTGGGCATGTCGTGAGAATGGCTGATGGTCAGATTCCGAAAGATCTCCTGTATGGAGAACTAGTGCAGGGAAAGCGCCCCAGAGGGAGACCTGAGCTACCATATAAGGATATCTGCAAGAGGGATCTGAAGGCCTTGGGAATGGACATTAACAGCTGGGAATCCTTGACCTCTGATCGTTCAGCCTGGGGGCTAAAGATGCAGCATGGCCTTCTCCAATTCGAAGAGATACTTGTGCG